ATTTTCAACTACACAGTCTTTCATACAATAATATTACACGTAAATCGAAAACTTTTCATTTTTTTCAATCACACATTTTTGAAAAATCATTATTCCAACCATTAAAATTTGAAAAAAAAAATGAGGGCTAGACAGGGGCTTAATTGTGTCGATATATGAAGCATTGAAAGATTAAAATTAGAATATGTTAAATGCATATACTTAAAGAGAGTAAGTTTCAAACTCAAAGCATTTCCAAAAAATTCTCTAATTTTAAAGAGTGTATTCTACAATTTAGAGAGCATATATAAATTTAAGAATAATGTTACTTATCAACATTGGTATTTAACACCAACCTAATTGGCAACACTAGTAGTATTCAATTATAGATTCAATTAAATGAATCATATAATTTTTCACATTTAATTGAACGTATCACTTAATGCCACATAGATTGGTGTTGGACTGCATTTTTCTAAATTTAGAAATTAAAAAATTTTAAGCACTCCAACATGCTCTATATAATTAGTACTTAATTTTACTATTTCTAAAGAATGTTTATTGATCTTCTTTATCTTTTATTTTCATTAGTTTCCCCTCAAATTATTATATTATTTTCCTTTATTGAAATTTGAAATACTTTGAATATAGTAAATTATAAAGAATGAGTTTGGTTCTCCAAATCTGGATAGTCAAACACACTCTTTATATTATAATGTTAATTTAGAGAATTTCTTGAAATATAATTTTAAATGTCGACTCTTTAGAATAAGTAGTATCTTATATTTAACCTTTAAACAATCTCTTAAAGATGCTTTAAGCAATTATAAGTTTCGACAAACATACATATGATTTGCTCTAATAGCTAAACTTAACTCTAAACCTCACCCTAAAATCGAGAAGGTTGAACTAAAATGAAAATTGTGATTTAGTTATAGTGTGAAGTTGATTTTTTGAGAATTTATTTTGTAAAAGTGTGATTTTTTAAGAATAATAGGTTAAAAACGGTGTTTAGAAAAAGCGATGACTAGACGCAAAACGTCCCACCTCCTGCATTTTTTTTATTTTTTGCATTTTTCTTGGCTATGCGCACTTTTTAAAAAAAAATAAAAAAATTGTATTTTATAATTTTATATGTTTGATAGGTATTATTTTAATTATCAAATGATTTTTAGAGTGATTAAAAATTTAAAATATTATTAAAATAAAAAACATTTTTTTACGCCTAAACATGATCTTCGCATCTCGTCACGCTCTACACTTTTCAAGACGCTGGTTAAAATCTAGGGATGATTGGTGCAGCTCCAATATGGATTTGGAAATGAAGAACTTTGCGGGGGTGCGGGGTAGGTTTTATTTGGCATTAATGTATCAAATAACCACCTGCCATTTGCATGCCATGTAGGGCGACTGCCACGTAGGTTTTACTTTGCGGGGGGTGCGGGTAGGTTTTACTTGGCTCCAAATAGCATTATTCTAAATGAGTAATGTTATTCGTAGTCGTTCACTGTGGTAGTTCTCCTACGTAGCATACACATGACAGATGATTATTTGATGCATTAATATGGTAATTTTTTTTATACATTAATGTATCAAATAATCACCTATTATGTATATACCACATAGAACGACTATCGTAACGAACGATTGCAAATAACATTATTCTTAATAAATGTTTCTGAACGTGAAAATTTTGGGAGGAATTGTGGTTCTTTACTGCCCTGATCACAGACCGTACTCCACGTTGCTTCTTCAACCCTGTCCCCGCCATTAAAGCTCCTTTTATTTTCTCTCACTGTTATAATATCGTACAAGTGGGACTTCTACATATTCTTATAAAAGTTGACCAAAGATTATACTGATAAAGTTGATAAAAATTATGATTCTCGTAAATACGAGATTAAAATTAAAATTTAATCAATTGAAAAGTTCGTAAATTTTTAGCAAATTAAACAAGCACTAAGGGTCCGTTTGATTGGAAAAATAGAATTAAATTGAAAAAGAATTTCAAAGAATTAAATTGTCTAAAAATTATTTTTCTAAAAATTGTAAATTATTGTGTTTGATTGGTATAATTTCCACATGGAAAATGTTGAAATAAAAGTATTTTTTGATATTCATTTGGCTTTATTTTACATGAAAATTGTCAATTAAAGGGATAAAATTTATTGATATTGGGTATAAAATTTGTTTCCATTGCCAAAAAAAAAATCAAAAAAATCATCTATCTTTTGTTGTTCGTTTGTCTTTGTTTTACATGGAAAATGTCAGTTAAAGAAAAATATTTTTTACAATAATTCTTATAATTTATTTCAATAATAATAATAATAATAATCAAAGTAGGGTGGAAATTGATTTTCAAGGAAAACCAAGAAAAGAACAAGTTCCAAGACAATCAAGAAAATGAAATTTCATGGAAAAAGTGTGCTATCAAACACTACAATTTGGGTGGAAAATGAATTCCATTTTCCATAGAATTAGCCCCTTTTCTTGGTTTTCCACCCTACTTTTACGGTTTTATTTTTTTTTTTTTATAATGGAAATAAATTCTAAGAATTATTGTAAAAATATATATCCCTTTAATTAACAATTTTTATGTAAAATAAAGTCAAACAAACACCAAAAAATAAATGATTTTTTTGAATTTTTTTTTTGACAATGGAAACAAATGTCATTCTCAATACCAGTAAAATCTATCTATTTAATTGACAATTTTTACGTAAAACAAAGTTAAACGAACACTCAAAATCACTTTTATTTCAATATTTTTCACGTGAGAAATTACTCCAATTAAACACAATAAATTGACAATTCTCAGAAAAATAATTTCTAAGCAATTTAATTTCCTGAAATTCGTTTTCTTTCCACCCAAATTTCATCTTTGTAATCAAACGGATCGTAAGTTATTGAAATTATATTTTTATCTATTATAATTGCTTATAAATTGGTCAAATTATAGTTTTATCTATACATGACGAAGAATCCATAACTCTATCATTTTTTTTTTAACCACACTCCTTGAAACTTAGGGTCTGTTTGATTACAAAAATAGAATTTGGGTGGAAAGAAAATGAATTCCAAGAAATTAAATTGCCTAGAAATTATTTTCCTGAGAATTGTCAATTTATTGTATTTGATTGATATAATTTCTCACATGGAAAATGTTAAAATAAAAGTGTTTTTTAGTGTTCGTTTGATTTTGTTTTACATGAAATTATCAATTAAAGGGATAAAATTTACTGTTATTGATGATAGAATTTGTTTTTATTGCAAAAAAAAAAAAAAAAAAAAAACACAAAAAAAAAATCTATTTTTTTTTTTTCGTTTAATTTTTTTTTAAGAAAATCATCTATCTTTTGCTGTTCGTTTGACTTTATTTTACATAGAAATTGTCAATTAAAAGGAATTTTTTTTTTTACAATAATTCTTAGAATTTGTTTTCATTGCCAACAAAAAAAAAATTAAAAATTGCTACAGTAACTAGGAAAATGAATTCTATCTCCTCAATTAGATGGAAAATATCTATGTGGCAACAAAAGCAAGAAAACCAATTTCATGAAAAATAGATGGTATCAAATACCATTAATTGAGTAAAAGATGAAAAACTTATTCCATATTCCATGGAAAATGATCCAATCAAACACTACCTTAGTGCTTATAAATACTTACAAACTTAACCTATTAAATTTAAGAATAATGCTACTTTGTCAGAAAATATGTGACATAATGGTTGACATAATGAGTGTTGGCAAAATGTGATTAGTTGAAAAAAATGACTGTATTTTAAATAATTCAATGATAGATAATCACGTGACATTATGTCAAGTATTATATAAGTTATTATGTTTATGTAGCATGATTGTAAATTTAAATGGACAATTCAATACAATTAAAACTCGGACGAGAATACAGATTTCAGAATAAATATATTTTTAGAGAGTGAACGATATGAATACATACATAGTGTGTCCTTTCATAATTGGAGGAGGGTTATTCAATGCTCATCTTCACAGTATGTCAGAGAAAGTCTATCTGCATTTACTCCAAATACTGTTCCTTGTCGGCTCACAGCTTTAAACAATTAACCCCATTGGTCCAGCTAGTAAAAAGTATTAGAATCTTCCAAAGTAAAATTGTCCCACGAATTTAAGAAGTTCAAACAAGCCACTTGAATTTCAAAATTGATGTTACAAGATGAATCATCATCTTACGAAGCATCTTAAAATGTATATTCCAATATGATTTTCTAAGAATATAATAATCAAACTTCGACTAGTCTTTATAAAGATTAGAATTTCAGGATAGTAAATTTTACATAGCTCAATCAAGCAATCATATCCTTTTATATTTCAAACAAGTAGAACTCAAATTCAAGATTGATATAGGAAACGAGTCATCATCTAAACATACGTATTTAGCCCATGTTTAGCCCCTGTTTGATCCTCATTACCTAAAAATGAAAATGAAGGGAATAGTATTTTTTAGAAAAATGAGTAGTTGAAAAAGAAGGAAAAGTTTTCGATTTACGTGTAATATTATTGTATGGAAGATTGTGTGGTTGAAAGTAGAAAAGAAAAAAATGGAATGTAATGTAATTTAATTTAATAGGGATCAAACATGGGCTTAAGCCACATTCTAGGAAAAAAGCATTATTCATGTCAAATCAATGAAAAATGTGTGATTAAAAAATAAGAAAAATTTTTAAATTTGAGTGTAATATTATTTTATTGAAAAATATATGATTTAAATGATATCAAATCATTGTTAAAGAATATATTTTTTTAAAATAATATAATTCAAACAAGCCTTATTATTTAACTTGAGAGGAAAAGGGTACACTTAGATCGCATTGAATGCACAATTTTCTTGTCTCATTGACAATCATTCAATTTCCTCAAAATTTTCCATATATCTCTAAACTACTTTGAAATGTCTTTTCACATTTATTTATAGAGAGCTTCAAGTTCTCATTTCTATAGTACTGTCTGTTCATTCAAGTCATTAAAGTAGAGTAAAAAAAACCCAGTGAGTGAGCGTTTTGTGTGTGTATTAATGGGGAGAAAACCGTGTTGTGAAAAGAAGGGACTGAAGAAAGGGCCGTGGACGGCGGATGAAGATAAGAAATTGGTTGAGTATATCACCAACAATGGCAGCCATGGCAGCTGGTGTTCCCTACCAAAACTTGCAGGTTCCATTGCTTTCTACTGAGTCACTTAAATTTGTGCAAATATGGAATTAATGGATTAATACTCGAATAGTGTTCATAGGAATGAGTGATTTTTAGCATGTTCTGTCTTTGTAACGTGCAAGAGGTTTCATATCGGACATTACTAGATAAGATTAATGTTATCGAATACTGTCTTTAGTGGTAAAAAGTTATGTATTGGACATGATTAAGATTAAGACCCCGTTTGATACCCATTTTTTTCCAAAATATTTCAACCACACATTCTTTATTAAAATAATATTACACATAAATAAAAAAACTTTTCCTTATTTCTCAACTATATATTTCACATTAATTTACTATTGTAAAATACATTTTTACATAAAAATACTTATCAAACACCCTTCAGTTTGCTTCGGATAAAAAAATTAATTAAAATTTTATTTATTATACTATCAAGTCAGTTTGCTTCGGATAAAAAAATTAATTAAAATTTTATTTATTATACTATCAAGTCATGCCCATTATGTGCACCAAACAAGCACTTAGTACTCTTCGAATGTTGTGTGTTGAAATTGTATAGAGCAACAATCTCAAAGTTGAGAACCTTTTCAACGTCGACAGAATTGCTAGCTTCTCGTATTTTGCTAGAGATGAAACACGACGTGCAACGAGAGAAATTTTCGTAACTGCTATCTGTTGTAGTTCTCAGTGATTTACTCAAACCATGTTTCTAGGACAAGTTAAAGTTACGCAAAAGCAAGAATAAGCAATATATGAAATAAGATAAAAAATACAAGATTTACGTGGAAACTCAAGATGGGAAAAACCTCGGATATAGAGGAGAAATTCACTATATATATGTCGCACTGGGAGTTTTTCGGGTTGAACCCAACAGACTTTTGGTCACCGTGTTCTAACAGTTTAAATCTTGTTCTTATTCTGCATAGTGCTCTAGTTTTTCTCTTCTTGAAAAAAGTCTAAGAAGCTCTTTCCTCTTAGAACAGTTTGAGCACTATTAAAATAATTGGCGGTGTACGTTTTTTCGTTTCACAGGTCTTCTTCGTTGCGGGAAAAGTTGCCGACTTCGTTGGACAAACTATCTTAGACCAGACATTATACGAGGTCCCTTTAGCTCCGAGGAAGAGAAGCTTGTTATAGAATTGCATGGCATTCTCGGAAACAGGTTCCCATTCTTATTAGCATTTGTTATTATTTTATTAACGAGGTGGATTAGACATAAACTTTGACTATTTTTTAACGTAATTTTTTGGGGAAAATCCTAATTTGAAACTGATCAGATGGGCAGCCATTGCATCTCAACTGCCGGGAAGAACAGACAATGAGATCAAGAACTTATGGAACACCCATCTGAAGAAGCGTGTGCTTAAAGTCGGCATTGATCCTCAAACTCACACGCATCCCTTGACATCCAATGGATTGGTGGAAAGATGTCCTGCATCTCCCTCGACACTACATATGATACAATGGGAGAGTGTAAGGCTCGAAGCCGAAGCTCGTCTCTCAAGAGAAACACTATTTGGAAAATCGGATTCTGACTATTTCTTACGCTTGTGGAATTCCGAGGTTGGAGAAGCATTTCAAAAATTCGACAAGGGCAACAAAACTGCTTGTCAATATTCAGTCTCAACTTCATCAACAAAGCACGGATCAATATCAGGAACCACGACAGAAATGTGTCTGATTCGAACAGGTTCATCAGTGGATGCAGACTGCAAGAACAGCGAAGGGTACGCTGACGATGTTGTCTTGCCAAAGTCGGATTCCATGAATTCTAATGAAATAGAGGATTCGTCCGAATCTGTGTTGCAGTTTCTATTGGATTTCCCTAGTAACAATGATGGCTATAGCGTAAATCCTGCCTTCTTCAATGAAAGATCCTTGAACTGATCTCTTAAGGATAAAGAATTTTTGCTGGGGTTTTTTGTGTTCCAGCTTTAGAGGAATGTTGGGGAATGAGTTGTTCGGCCAATGTATGAGACATATTTGGTACACAATATTCGATAGTACAAGACCTTTCCTAGTTAACCTATACATTTTGTGCAAGTTTAAATTGTACCTTTAAAAATAGACACGAAATTGGGTAACATTATTTAACACACTGAACAAATTCTTAGTTCAATCGGTGATCAGCCCAATAACCGCCCCCATCTTCCCATCACTCGTTTTCTTAATATAAATCATGAATCATTAGAGCCTTTCTGATTTCAATTAGCTCTGTTGCCTTTTGTTCAAAAGGCAAAACTCTCGTTGCAATTTGGCAATCTGAGGAAAAGTTAAGGTGTATACACAGAAACCATTGGAAATTGGTTAGAGCGTTAAAACTAAAAATGCAGAAAAAGTGACTTTCGTGTCAACTTTGACGGACTTGATCCAATAGTCAAATTACAAATGTAAATAGACTAATTTGTTCTACTCGTCGAGTGGATCATCGTGGTATATTTGAAATCTCAAAATCAATTATGTGTGAACGAGAAATTGTCATTCAAAATTGAAAGAAAAATATAGGAAAACCAGACCTGGGTCTTACCTAACTTCGTCGCTCGCTTATTGCTCAAACGAAATGCTACCAATAGGTGGGCGAAAAGTATCTTTTAAAATTTTGACATTAGAGCGAGAGGCCAACGACAAGCTAGCGACAGCAACTGATACTTCTCCTTGTAAAGTTGCGAGGTTTGATACGTATCAATTCACTCACAACCCCTCATCCTCTATAAATAGAACCCTTTGGATGTTTATAATACATCCATATCACTTTCGCATTGCATAAAATCTCTTGCAAAAACTCTCCAAATATCATTTCATATCTTTTTCCTTATAATGAGGATAAACTCCATTTGAGTTCACTGTTACTTGTGATTTAAAATACTTCTACCACAAGTTGAATCTGTTATATCTTGAAAGGGAAGTGCCATGAACCGTTAGCATCGTTGCGAAGCAATTTGTGTTAAGAATTTCTAAAATGAAAGTTTGCAGAAAAAGAATACTACATTCAGATATTAATCTCATTTAGTGCTATTTGTGTAATTGCTCAACTTGTTTTTAAGCCAACCTTGAGCCCAAATCAATCCTAAGCTACTAAAATTTAGAAATGAATTGTTATTCTTGTTATAGATTTGCGTGGTTTGTACCCTCTCTATTTTCGGTTGACGCAATTCTAACAGACGAGAGTATATTTCGATCTATGCAAGACAAATTTAACCACTCAAGTCGTCAATTTTGAAATTTATCCTCTATAGGTGTCATCTATACATAGTGCTTGTTTGGTAGGAATTTTGATAATTAATTTCTTGATCGTTAAAAATAAAATGGGTTCTAGGTGTAAGAGAAAAATTCAAAAATAACTGTTGGAATAGCGAAATAACGGTAAAAAAAATTGATTTAAATTGGCTTAAAATCTAAACCAAGCAAACTTTTAAAACACATATATTAAAGTTGTCATTTTCAAAATTTCAAAATTTATTGATATATTCTCTTTTCTTATCTCTCATATTCATAAAGATGAGTCAATAGCTAGAGAGCATCTACAAGGGATTCTTTAAAACAAAAAATACTCTCTATTTTAAAAAGTTAACCATTAAAATCATGTTTCAAGAGATTGTTTAAATTAACATTTTAATATAGAGAGTAAGTTTGACTTTTCAAATTTGAATAACCAAACTCACCTCTATAATTAAACGTATTCAAAGTGTTTTCAATTTTTAATATAGAAAAATAATAAAATAATCTATAAAAAGGTTAGTTTTAAATTTCGAGAGTAAAACCCACTCTCTAAAGTTGAATACATTCAAAATGTTTCAATTTTCAATATAGGAAAATAATAAATTAATCTAAACAAAAGCTAGTTTTAAAATTGGAGAGCCAAACCCGCTCTCTAAAATTAAATGCATTTAAAGTATTTTAGTTTTCAATATGAAAAAATAATAAAATAATCTAGAGAAAAACTAGTTAAAATAAAAGAAAGAGAAAAATAATAAATATTTTTTATAGTAGTAAAATTAAATATTAAATATAAAGAGTTTATTGGAGTACTTCAAAATTTTAATTATCTAAATCTATAGTTGCTCCCCAAAATAATAGAACATATTGAGAGCCAAACACACTTTCTAAAATTAAATGTGTTCAAAGTGTTTCAATTTTTAATATATAAAAATAATAAAATAATTTAGAGAGAAATTAGTTAAAATAAAAGAAATCGAAAAATAATAAATATTTTTTGAGAATAATAAAATTAAGTGTTAAATATAAAGAGTTTGTTAGAGCAGTTCAAAATTTTAACTCTCTAAATTTATATATGCTCTTTAAATGATAAAATATACTTAAAAAAAAAAAAAAAAGGAGTCTGTTGGAGACTTGAAATAGAAGTTTTCTTGTCTATTTTTCATGGGTTAAATCATTAAAATGGTACCGCCACTAATACTTATCTTTGCAATTTTTCCAAAGGAATGAAAAAGAAAAAGAAATTATGGTGGTTAGAATGGTATAATGGCCCATCAAAATTATGTGTCAAATGTCTACCTCAGTGATAAAATCGCATTGTCCATCAGCGTTTTGTACATAAAGTTGACTAAGCCTCGTTTGGCCTTGATTCTTTTCAAATTTTAATGATTGAAATAGTATTTTTTTTTTTTTGAAAAATATGTAGTTAAAAAAGAATGAAAAGTTATGGTGTGTTTGATTACATTTATTTTCCATGAAAAATATCAATTTTTCACCTAAATTCTTACTTAAAGTGTTTGATTGCTATTTTTTTCCATGAAAAATATTTTCCAACTTTTGAAAATATGTCTAATTTTCCTTGTTTTTAAGGAAAACATAATCTTTGGGTAGAGGTAGTTTTTATTTTCCACAAAAGATGGAAAACATTTTCTTTTCTAGGTGATATTTTCCATGTAATATTATTTTATGAAAAATTGTGTGGTTAAAAATAAGAGAGAAAAAGAATGAAAAATAGAATGGGGGCCAAACAAGGGCTAAGACATTTTTAAGTGTTTTTGCATGACATTCTTATTTTTAGAGGGTTTTTGATACCCATTTTACAGAAAAATTAATTTTAAAATAGTAGATTGATAGAAAATGTGTAAATAAAAAATAATGAAAAGTTTTTTTATTAACGTATAACATTATTTTAATGAAAAATGTGTGGTTAAAAAGAAAATAGAAAAAAATATATTTTTATAAAAATAATAATCAAATGGAGCCTTAAAATTTCATTAATTAATGCATGTCATCTAAAACAATTAGCATTGCTTATCGAGGATAGCATTTATTGATATAGTAAAGTTTGAAGAACTTTAAAAACATGGAACAAAGTTTGTTTGTTTATAGGGACAATTACTTGACCTACATAAATTTGTGGTCTCAAAGTTTGTTTATTGTATGTGTGGACTCTCAACCAACTTTTCAAGTAAAGTAAACTACGTCGGCATGGGACCGCCAAAAGCTGTGGTCGGCATGAAATTTGCTTATAAGTAATTCTAATTCACTTTTAAGCTCAGCCAATCATGCTTAGCTAATTTATCATATCTCCCATCCCTGTATTCCGGAAGGATGAAATCAAGTGTGCAAACAGTTGGTTTACAGGACGGTGCTGAATGTACAGGGTACGATCAGGGGTGAACTTGAAGGGATTATAGTGTCAATTGACCCTCTAGATTGTGGGGCGGGGGCGAGGGTGGGGGAATTGTTTAGTTTGGGGGAATTGTTTTTTTTTTTTTTTTAAGCTTTTTCTTTATTAGAAAATACTCTATAAATTTTATTTGTGACCCCCTAATTCAAGTCATATGGGTTCGCCCGAGGTACGGGTTCACGTACCTAACACTAACAACATAGAGGGTGAGAGGGATTTTTTCCTAGATTTTTATATCGGGACCCACTTGGAGTGAGTGTTTCAAAACCCCTGTACACCCAGCATTATTGTTGTAAATAAAACTCAACAAGGCTATGTTTGATATGGAATATTTTCTATGGAACTAGAAATGTTTTTTAGAGTTTTCCCTTTTTTTGTTGTTTGATTAGAAAGTTTTCCATGAAATTCAATTTTTCTCTTTCAACCCCGCGGGACCTCAAATTCCATGAATTGGTTGAAAAACAATTCCCATGGTTTTGGTGGGGATTGGCTTTTCCAAGTTTTTTATTTTTTTGGCAATCGAAACAAATTTTAAAGACAATTGTAAAAAAATCTATCAATTTAGACAATTTACATGAAAAAAGTTAAACGGACACCAAAAGATCCAAAATTTAAACATTTTTCAAGTGAAAAATTATACCAATTAAACACATTTAATTAACAATATTCAATAAAATAAGTTCTAGACAATTCAATTCTCTGAAAGTCGTTGTTTTTCTACCCAAATTTCATTCTTACAATCAAACGGATCCTAAGAGTGTGTTTGATCGGCATGGACAATATCACATTAAAAAAAGAATATATTTTCCTTGTTTTGAAGAAACAAAAACCACATCTACCCAAGAAAAATATTTTCCTTAAAAAAACGAAAATTAGACATATTTTGAAAAGTTGAAAAATATTTTCTATGGAAAAAAATAGCAATCAAACACCCCAAGTAGGAATTTGGGTGAAAAATATGACTTTTTCACTCAATTCCTACTTGAGGTGTTTGATTGCTAATTTTTTCCATATAAAATATTTTTCAACTTTTGAAAATATACTTAATTTTCTTTATTTTTAAGGAAAATATTTTTTTGGGTGGAAGTGATTTTTATTTTTCACAAAAAAAGGAAAATATTTTTTTTTAAGTGATATTTTTCATATCAATCAAATACGCTTTAAAATATGTAAATCTGTAAAAATTCTAGCAAAAAAATCTGTCACTGTAGCTTGATTTTGGAATCTGACTACGTTACACAGAAAAATCGACAAAACAACAGAAACTGACAGACATCAAGGAACGCGCTGGTAGACTTTTCAACCATAATCTATAATTTGCTTCTTCCTTTTATATTCACTTAAAATAAAAACTAGCGTAATTAGCACAAAACATCCATACTTTTCGTCGTCTGGATTCGTCCCTAGGTACGAGTTCACATACCTAACACTCACAACACCGAGGGTGGGTGGGATTTTTTTCTGGATTTTTATATCGGGACCCACTTATTGGGAGTGTTTCAGAACCCCTGTACACTCAGCATTATTGTTGCAAATAAAACTCAATTAGGCCATGTTTGATATGGAATATTTTCCATGGAACTAGGAAATTTTTTTTAGAGTTTTCCCTTTTTTTGTTGTTTGATTGGAGAGTTTTCCATGAAATTCAATTTCTCTCTTTCAACCCCACGTGATCTCAAATTCCATGAATTGGTGGAAAACCAATTCCCGTGGTTTTGGTGGGAATTGGCTTTTCCAAGTTCTTTTATTTATTTTTATTTTTTTTGGCAATCGAAACAAATTCTAAAGACAATTATAAAAAAAATCTATCCATTTAATTGACAATTTACATGAAAAAAACTCAAACGAATACCAAAAGATTCAAAATTTAAACATTTTTTGAGTGAAAAATTATACTAATCAAATACATTTAATTGACAATTTTCAATAAAATAAATTCTAGGCAATTCAATTCCATGAAAATCGTTTTCTTTCCACCCAAATTTCATTATTGTAATCAGACGGATCATAAGAGTGTGTTTGATTGGCATGAACAATATCACACTGGAAAAGAATATATTTTCCTTGTTTTGAAGAAAACAAAAATCACCTCTACCCAAGGAAAATATTTTCCTTAAAAACAACGAAAATTAGGTATATTTTGAAAGTTGGAAAATATTTTTTAAGAAAAAAATAGCAATCAAACACCCAAAGTAGGAATTTTGGTGGAAAATAAATATAATCAATCACACCGATGTGATTGATTATATTTATTTTCCATGAAAAATATGACTTTTTCACTCAATTCCTACTTGAGGTATTTGATTGCTAATTTTATTCATGGAAAACATTTTTCAACTTTTTAAAATATGCTTAATTTTTTTTATTTTTAAGAAAAATATTTTTTTTGGGTGGAAGTAATTTTTATTTTTAAAAAAAGAAGGAAATTTTCTTTTTTTTAAGAAATATCCTCTAAAATATGTAAATCCATAAAAATTCTAGCAAAAAAAATCTCACTGTAGCTTGATTTTGGAATCTGACTACGTTACACAGAAAAATCGACAAAACAACAGAAACTGACAGACATCAAGGAACGCGCTGGTAGACTTTTCAACCATAATCTATAATTTGCTTCTTCCTTTTATATTCACTTAAAATAAAAACTATTAAATTCCTCTAGTAAACGCCTTATTTATTTTAATTCCATCCATCTTTTCTTTCTTGTTTTGTTCTTCTTCACATTTTAGACTTACAAAGAAAAGAATATCGTTTATTCTGAAGCTTTGTATTTTTATTTTTATTTTATTTTTCAGTAGGGAAGCCAATAATTCAGAAGATGCTGTGAATAACTTTAAATCCAGTTCAGGTGATTCTTTATTTTCTTTTTCTTGTTTTGATTATACTCTTATGGGTTTCTATTATGCACATAGATGATTTTATGATCTGGGCTTATTGATGATGTGATTATTAGTTAGTCATATGGTTGTATGTTAATTTGGGATTTTCGAAATACTGAGAAAAGGAAGATTTTATTTGTACCATGAATCTTTTGGGATACCTTATCCTTTCAGAAGATTGACCTTTTCGTTAAAGAAAACCAGGTCAACTATTAGCGGAATCAAAGTTTTTCTTTCCAAAAATCAAATAAAGTTTGATTCTTCTGATGGAATTTGATAATTTGAGTTTGTGTCCAGCATATCGAGTATTTCAACTGAGTTTGACGGCGGATCATCGGATTCATGTGTAATTCTTCATCATTTCTTTGATTATTACATTGATTTCTTGTTGACCTCACCAGGAAAAAAAAAGGAAAAAAAAGATCACTGTAGCTTGATTTTGGAATCTGACTACGTTACACAGAAAAATCGACAAAACAACAGAAACTGACAGACATCAAGGAACGCGCTGGTAGACTTTTCAACCATAATCTATAATTTGCTTCTTCCTTTTATATTCACTTAAAATAAAAACTAGCGTAATTAGCACAAAACATCCATACTTTTCAATATTTTTGTGAAAAATATCCCTATCTTTCATTTTTTGACGGATTACACCCTTACCTTTATCTTTTTTTGCACAAAACGTCCTTCTGTCAACTCTCCGTTAAAATGCTCGGGTAATTGGCATAAAACGTCCTTACCTTTCAAGTCTATTGTGGAAAACGTCCCTACCTTTCATTTTTTGGCATTTTTGCCCTCATTTCAACATTTCTTTGCGCTGGACGTCCTTCCGTCCATATTCCGTTAGTTTTTCCGTTAATTAAAGGGTAATTGGCACAAAACGTCCCTACCTTTCAAGTCTATTGTGGAAAACGTCCCTACCTTTCATTTTTTGGCATTTTTGCCCTCATTTCAACCTTTCTTTGCGCTGGACGTCCTTCCGTCCATATTCCGTCAATTTTTCCGTTAATTAAATACAAAAATACCTTTTTTCTTTCCATAAACAAGGATAAAATTATCCTCACCCACTTCACCCCTTTTTCCCGCCATCAACTTAGTCCATAAGTAACCGTAGCAGCGACATGAATCTGAAAATACTTTAAATGATTAAGTTAAATAAAGAAAAAATATCGTGAACACATTATATTTCACAATTCCACAACTACTATTGCTGTCATCTTGTGTCACTGGAAAAATTTAGAAAGACATATTAAATGGGTAGTCAATTTATAATAAGAGTGTGTTTGATTGGCATGAACAATATCACACTGGAAAAGAATATATTTTCCTTGTTTTGAAGAAACAAAAACCACATCTACCCAAGAAAAATATTTTCCTTAAAAAAACGAAAATTAGACATATTTTGAAAAGTTGAAAAATATTTTCTATGGAAAAAAATAGCAATCAAACTTGATTATATTTATTTTCCATGAAAAATATGACTTTTTCACTCAATTCCTACTTGAGGTATTTGATTGCTAATTTTATTCATGGAAAACATTTTTCAACTTTTTAAAATATGCTTAATTTTTTTTATTTTTAAGAAAAATATTTTTTTTGGGTGGAAGTAATTTTTATTTTTAAAAAAAGAAGGAAATTTTCTTTTTTTTAAGAAATATCCTCTAAAATATGTAAATCCATAAAAATTCTAGCAAAAAAAATCTCACTGTAGCTTGATTTTGGAATCTGACTACGTTACACAGAAAAATCGACAAAACAACAGAAACTGACAGACATCAAGGAACGCGCTGGTAGACTTTTCAACCATAATCTATAATTTGCTTCTTCCTTTTATATTCACTTAAAATAAAAACTATTAAATTCCTCTAGTAAACGCCTTATTTATTTTAATTCCATCCATCTTTTCTTTCTTGTTTTGTTCTTCTTCACATTTTAGACTTACAAAGAAAAGAATATCGTTTATTCTGAAGCTTTGTATTTTTATTTTTATTTTATTTTTCAGTAGGGAAGCCAATAATTCAGAAGATGCTGTGAATAACTTTAAATCCAGTTCAGGTGATTCTTTATTTTCTTTTTCTTGTTTTGATTATACTCTTATGGGTTTCTATTATGCACATAGATGATTTTATGATCTGGGCTTATTGATGATGTGATTATTAGTTAGTCATATGGTTGTATGTTAATTTGGGATTTTCGAAATACTGAGAAAAGGAAGATTTTATTTGTACCATGAATCTTTTGGGATACCTTATCCTTTCAGAAGATTGACCTTTTCGTTAAAGAAAACCAGGTCAACTATTAGCGGAATCAAAGTTTTTCTTTCCAAAAATCAAATAAAGTTTGATTCTTCTGATGGAATTTGATAATTTGAGTTTGTGTCCAGCATATCGAGTATTTCAACTGAGTTTGACGGCGGATCATCGGATTCATGTGTAATTCTTCATCATTTCTTTGATTATTACATTGATTTCTTGTTGACCTCACCAGAAAAAAAAAAAAAGAAAAAAAATTACTTGTATCCTGTTTCTTTGCCAGGTGGAGTTAAGATTCTTTTGAAGATGAAAAATGGAAGGAACTTTTTTGTTGTTCTTAGTTGTCGGATTATCTGACTGTTTGCTGATTTTATTTCTTTTAACAAACATTTTTATGGTCCTGTATTTAAATACTATTGAAATTCATTAGAATATCCTCGCACTTTGGCACTGTGTATGGTGTATTGGTTTACCATAGACTTGTAATTTCAATAGATGGGGTGCTAACTCGAATGAAATGACGAAAAAGGATTTCAGATAGCCGACCCCAAGTTTGTGGGAACAAGCCTTATCTTCTTTTCCTTCTTGTAGTTATAAGAAGCTTATGAAGTGTGGTTTACTTATAACTTTGTATTGTGAAAATATTGTCTTTTGAAACTTTGTGAATAATTGATAGCTTTGTTCGTTCTTTGTTTTCCAGTTCCTTTTGCGTTTCTGGAAATTCTTGACTGAATGCTCATAATATTTTCTTCAGTTTGTCTTCACATATAATTTGCTCACATTTCTTCTCATGAACAGGTGCCTGATATTAAACCTTCATCAAGTACAAAATATTTGTGATAGCATTCATGAGCAATCTCAAGCTAGGAGTGGAGGTTGTGAGGGGTCACAATCTCATGCCGAAAGATGGGCAGGGTTCATCCAGCGCCTTTGTCGAACTCCATTTTGATGATCAGAAGTTTCGCACCACCGTCAAAGAGAAGGATCTTAACCCAGATTGGAACGAAACTTTCTACTTTAACATATCTAATCCAAATAATCTAAATAATCTCTCTCTCGAAGCTTGTGTTTATAACAGTGAAAAGACTACTGATTCCAAGTCGTCCCTTGGGAAGGTTCGGATAACTGGTACATCATTTCTCCCCTATTCTGATGCTGTTGTTTTCAATTATCCTTTGGAGAAGGCAACTATTTTTTCGCGTGCGATAGGGGAGCTTGGCCTGAAAGTCTATGTAACAGATGATCCATCTATTAAATCTTCAATCCCACTTCGTGAAATGGATTCTACTTCATATTCAAGTTTGCACTCTGTCGAAGGTGAAGCGCCTTATCAGAAAGTTGTAAATGTCATCTCAGACTTATTAAGTGGTCGCAAAAAGGGGAAAACACGAACGTTTCACCATCTTCCCAACTCGAGTTCCCAGCAACAACAGCTCCAGTCTTCTTCAACATCCGATCAACCAATAAAGTACAGGGTGGATGATATGGGTCATGAAGCGCATGCTCCACTAGTAGCCCACATGTACCCAGGTTCATCNGATCAACCAATAAAGTACAGGGTGGATGATATGGGTCATGAAGCGCATGCTCCACTAGTAGCCCACATGTACCCAGGTTCATCCTCACAGCCTGCTGATTATCTTCTTAAAGAAACAAGCCCTTACCTTGGAGGGGGACAAGTTGTTGGCGGACAAGTGAGGCGTTCAGACAAACCATCCAGCTCTTATGACCTAGTCGAGCCAATGCAGTTCCTCTTTGTACGAGTTGTGAAAGCACATGAGCTTCCTTCCAAGGGTGTTACAGGTAGTCTTGACCCATATGTTGAAGTTAAACTTGGTAACTACAAAGGAGTCACGAAGCACTTTGAGAAAAACCAAAACCCCGAGTGGAACACAGTGTTTGCCTTCTCAAAGGATAGAGTGCAGTCATCTGTGTTGGAAGTTGTGGTTAAAGACAAAGATATGGTTAAAGATGATTTTGTGGGTAAAATTAGGTTTGATCTTCAAGATATTCCCATGCGAGTTCCACCAGATAGTCCTTTGGCTCCAGAATGGTATCGTCTAGAAGATAAGAATGGAAAGAAAAAGAAAGGGGAACTTATGGTTGCTGTCTGGATTGGCACACAAGCAGATGAGACGTTTCCAGATGCTTGGCATTCAGATGCAGTTAGCCCTGTTGATAGCTCGGTAACTTCAACATACATCCGCTCTAAAGTCTACCATTCCCCAAGATTGTGGTATGTACGTGTTAATATTATTGAAGCGCAAGATTTAGTTGTGGCTGAGAAGAATCGATTGCCAAATGTACATGTTAAGGCACAGATTGGTAACCAGGTTTTTAAGACAAAACCTGTTCAGACACAAACTATGAATGCACAATGGAATGAGGATCTGATGTTTGTTGCTGCTGAACCATTCGATGATTTTCTAGTACTCCTAGTTGAAGATCGTGTGGGTCCAAACAAAGATGAGATTCTTGGTAGAGTTGTTATACCACTGGCCACAGTTGAAAGACGTGCTGACAATCGACTGGTCCACTCGAGATGGTTTAATCTTCAAAGAGAAAGTTCAACTGAGGTTGAGGAATTGAAGAAAGATAAATTTGCTAGTAGGATCCATCTTCGTGTAAGCCTCGATGGGGGGTACCACGTGCTTGATGAGTCTACTCACTATAGTAGTGATCTTCGACCAACAGCAAAACAGCTTTGGAAGCCGCCAATAGGTATCTTGGAGCTAGGCATTTTAAGTGCCAATTCTGTTCACCCAATGAAAACGAGAAATGGTCAGGGAACATCGGATACATTTTGCGTTGCAAAATATGGTCAGAAATGGATTCGAACTCGGACAATTATTGACAGCTTAAATCCAAAGTACAATGAGCAGTACACTTGGGAGGTGTTTGATCCAGCCACTGTTCTTACCATAGGTGTTTTTGATAATGGGCATGTTAGCGAAAATGGTTCACAAGGTAACAGAGACATGAAAATTGGGAAAGTTCGGATCCGAATCTCAACTCTTGAAACAGTCCGTGTTTATACTCATTCTTACCCGTTACTAGTTCTTCATCCTTCCGGCGTAAAGAAGATGGGAGAGTTGCATTTGGCAATACGGTTTTCATGCACATCAATGGCGAACATGATGTGTTTATACTCAAGACCACTTTTGCCTAAGATGCATTATGTCCAACCATTGACTATGATGCAGCTCGATATTTTACGTCATCAAGCTGTCAATGTAGTGGCTGCACGGCTCAGTCGAGCAGAACCCCCTCTCAGAAAAGAGATAGTTGAATACATGACTGATGCAGATTCACATATGTGGAGCATGAGGCGCAGCAAGGCGAACTTCTTCAGACTAATGTCAGTTCTTAGCGGATTATTATCTGTCGGGAAATGGTTTAAAGAAGTTTGTATGTGGAGAAATCCCATTACATCAGGGCTGGTGCACGTTCTCTTTATCATGTTAGTCTGTGTTCCTGAACTGATTTTGCCAACAGTTTTTGTATACATGTTTTTAATTGGACTCTGGAATTACCGATTCCGTCCAAGGTATCCTCCACACATGGACACGAGATTATCGTATGCCGAGTCAGTACACCCTGATGAGCTTGACGAGGAATTTGATACATTTCCCACCCGACAAAATACAGATCTTGTCCGAATGAGGTATGATCGTTTGCGTAGTGTAGCTGGTCGAATTCAGACAGTGATAGGCGATATCGCATCCCAAGGGGAGCGACTACAGGCGCTGCTGAGTTGGCGAGATCCTCGTGCCACCATCATATTCATGGCATTCTGCATACTTGCTGCCATTGTATTATATGCTACACCTTTCCAGTTACTGATTATTCTCACTGGATGTTATGTGATGAGGCATCCCAGATTCCGACACAAGTTGCCTCCCGCTCCACTCAATTTCTTCCGTCGTCTGCCTGCGAGAACTGATAGCATGTTGTAAGTTTTTCAGGTTCACTTTCAACTTTTGTGGGAGATTATCGATTTTCGTTTGTCAATTTTTGTATGTTCCTAGCCGACTTGTTTTCGATATTCTCCGAAATGTGTAACACTATTACATATCGTATTATGTGTTATAGCATCTCTCATGTATGGTCCAGTTGCTATTCCAGATCTTTTGTATGATTGGTTATGCTCCAAAACAACACTATGCTGTTGATCTATCAGTACTTTAACATTCTCAAAAGGCTGTTTTAATGCAGTTCTGTATCGTTTACTGTTTTTCCCAAGTTTGTATCGAGTAGTTGGGAACGAGTAGCTAACTTAAAATTTATTGGAAAGTAATTGTTTAGTTTGTTGTCGTGGGTGAATTCATCTATTTCTTAACATTGTTTGCTCTTATTAGTGGTTATCCACAAGTCCCAGGTCGAAGTCCAAGTTTTCTCAATTTTCAAGTTTCTCCAGAAAATGAATTCCTTCTCGTCACTTAGCTTGGTTCATTGGTAGATTTACATGGAGACTCAGAAACGAAAATCCTTGTTCATTTTCACTATATGTAGTATCCAATGCAACACATTGATAGTAGTGACATCCCGAGAAAGTATTGCCTGGGGATTCATCGTATCGTCAAATTTGACAAAGTTTACGATAATTATCAACCTACAGAATACTCTACTCGGGACTGAACTGGCTATGGAAAACGAAGGCGGGGCTTAGCTTACATGTAAACTGTATCAATCCATTCCAGATGGTAGCAAATCCTTAGAAAATAAAAGAATGCTTACTTAGCCATTCCGATGTTTTGTTACTAGATCCACCAAGAGATCAAAATCCTAAGAAAATAAAAGAATTCCGCAAAAATGCAAGAATACAAGAGTTGACAGCTTACCAAATCCTGGTTGACAATGAAAAGTAGGGCTGGACAAAACTCTCAAATCGAACCGAACCTGAACCGAATAAAATCGAACCCGGTGGTTCTTGTTAAATTAAATACCCGAACGAGTATTTGAATCAAGAACGACGGGTACGATTTGATTCTTGGTTCTTGGCAAAGACCCCAAGAATCAAATAAGAGTCGAATCTTCCTAATTTTTTAATTAATTTATTTTAAATAAGCAAAATTATTTTATTTTTTCTAAATAAATTTGTTAACTAGTTAATTTAGATCAAACTACAAAATATGATTTTCCTATTTCTAATTTTCAGTTCAAAATTAACTTAATCAAATTGACCTCAATTTTATCCAAATATGCTACTCTATTGTAGTGTCGCTTCTACTGGAGAAAATAGAATTAAAGCTCTACAACATCTCTTAATTATTTTGAGCTCACCATCTTTCTCTTCCTGTGATTTTAATAATTAAATTTATGAAAAATTCAAAAAGAGAGACGCAACATACATATAAAATTGGACTACGTTATTTTGTAAGAGCTAATATTGAACATATCATTAATTAAATTAATGTAACTTTGTATATATTAAAAAATTTAATTACAATACGAAACCGAATGAAACCGAACCGAATTGAACTGAACCGAATTGAATGGAATCGTACCCAAACAGTTCTATAATTAAATTTAGACCCGACGGTTCCACTTACTAAATACCCGAAAATTTCGAATCGGTTCGGTTCTATGTCCAGCCCTAATGAAAAGCTTCATGTCGAAGCAAAAAGGCAAATGGACAGAAAATACAATTCTTATCCATTCTCACAAGCACATGTACAAAAATCCAACCCTATAACAAAAAGAATAATTCAAAGTACATTCCAAACCTCTTCATGAACCAAGAAGAACTCAAACCTGTGCAAAATGCACCCAGGAAACAACGTAGATTCAAGAAATAAAAGAAAATAAAGATTATAATTTTATGTGAGTTTAGCATGGCCCCTGCGCAAGAATGACACACACAAATCGAGAAATGGTCCAAACAATATTTAAGAAGGGAGATTGCCTTTTAGCTTGAGTTTAAGAACTCGGAAAAACAGTCAGATATGCTGTTAAAGTGGTAAATAATCCTTTCTATCAAACAGCCATTAGTGTCATACGAAGTTTTACACTACGAACCTACCATCACTCTTTTCCTTTACCTGGGAAATGGCAATAAAGATGACAAGGCATGAAATAGCGACTCATATTATTGAGGTTCCTTCATCAAGCATAATTTTGCAATATCAACAATTACAGATGCTACATATGCAATAAAAGTACTCAAGAAATACTAAAATGATGAAATGGAAAAGGGCAAAAGAAAAGGAGAAATGAACAAGGAAACACAAGTTAACCAGCTTCAAGATTCAAACATGGTTTACACCAATAAGAAAGACTTGAAAATCCAAGTGCTCAGACAGAGAGTTTCTGATAAGAAAATTCATACAAAGTTTTGACCCCATACAAGACAAGCAGTCTTTCCAAATCTTTACAATGCATCTCCCCATCTTACTGAGATACATAAATACATCAACCGATAGAAATAGGAACAGGACCGAGAATTTTAATCATCTATTTACTAAGAGTTTAGATCAAATCAGGCTGCCGGAGCTCCTGAATTGTGTCCCATCTTATTGGCCAGATTTCCTGCACCATCAAGACACAGATTTGCTGGGCCACCAACTAAGATTCTGACAATTACCTGGAATCATGCATCAACAGCAAGACTTAGAAATGAAGACGGTATAATTTCTTATCAATTTTCAATTGTTACAAGGTGGGTTCTTCAGTGCACAAAATCTACGGAACAAGCTTAAATAAAGATGACGTGCTGCATTTGTTCAATCATTTGTCCATCATCTTGAGAATATATATGTATGGAGAAATTGAAAAATAAAGGGATGAGCTGCATACAAGCAGGTTAAGGGAAATCAAGACCCTTAACTTTCAACATGGCCATTGTGGTATTGGACTACTGATGATCAAGGTCAAAAACTTCATACACTATTGTAATTTAGTCTCCTTTGTTGAGGGCGGTTTAGTCTTTTTATCTGTTAAATAATAGGGTTGCATCTTGTTTAACATGACTAAGAGCAAATTTCAATTCTCTGGCATGTAGACATTGACATTAAGGTGGAACAAAATCAAGAAAACTACATGATTCCATTTAAAAGAAAAAATAAAGAATCTATTAAAGGATAAAAGAGATGCGATATTCAGAACTGCGGTTTCTTAAATGTCAAAGTATCCTGAAGATACCCGAACATGGGTGGCAGCAATAAGAACTCCTGAAACTGCACCAGCCAGGGTATAACCATCGGGATCAGAAATGGAGAAATGTAAGCAACCAATTGGGACATCGGAAGCAACGTTGAGAGTATAAAATCCATATAGAGCCAAAATAGGAGAGATTCCCTGTAAAAAGATGAGAAGTTCATATAATGAAAATTTGAATAATCCAGTCAAATAGTTTGTTACAGAGTGCATGCAGAATTTAGAATTTGCACACCCGTACATATTGAGATTAACAGACTTAAGAATACACTGGATAAAAACAAATACAAGTAGTTTGTTATACGAAACCAGGCGTGCTGGTGTCCCAAGGAGAATATCTGCAAAGGCACTAAAGGATCCTTCGAGAACCACTTGATCTTAAAAGGTTAAGCTGTTAGAGAGGGCCACGCATATGTCATTTAAATTGTCTTCAACACATCCCCACAAAAAGAGACGGTGTTCATTCCACGTGCACAATTTCATTAGATAGATGATGGCAAGACTCATCCTTCGTCTACTTGGACATCATGTTAAATCACTTGATCTAAAAACTTAACTTGTTAGAGAGTGCCTATATCATTTAAATCTTATTCTCAACAATCTTTTATATATTGCAGGAGACCATGTCTAAGGTCACCCTCTTGTAGCGTCACACATGTACACAACAATGCATATACAACATGTTTGGTATGATGGATTATAAAACACTGGATGACATTAAGAAGAAAAGAAGTTGTGTATTCATGTTCAATACTATATACCATACATATCCTCAGAGCATATTAGCATGTGCATGTGCATCGACGTAACCTATGAAAATAGGTCACCGGATGTGTTTCCCTGAAGCTCCAGTGACCTCAAAAAGGGATGGAGAACTCTCCTTGGTTCTTCTTTCGTTGTGCGAGAATCAATATATTTTATTAAAGAAAGTAAAAACAAGAAAGCTTAAGAATGTAGAGAATGTATCTGAGAGAGGATACCTTCATCTTTCAAGCCTATATATAGAAGTTTACCTTGATGATGTGGCACAAGGATCATTCGACTCGTGTCTTATTTTTGACCAATGGATGTGGAGGAACACATGAACTTATCCATTCCAAAAAATATGGAGTCAATTTAGGAGGTAGTTAAAAGTTGTTAGGCTACATGGATAGTGGCTTGGACATGTGGAGGGTCTTTTGATGTGCAACCAAAGTTCTACAGGGCTGGTTCAGGCTTGATGGGCTGGAAAATTTGGAAGCCCCCCTCTAGGATTTGTCAACCTTGATCAGCCTTCCTTTTTGGGCTGCCCTAGCTGACCAACTTAACCTGTAGTCGGTCAGCCCAGCTGGCTCTCTTTTGTGTTGGTTGAACAATCTTCTACTCGTATGATTTACCTTAAAGTTCCCGTAGTTTTATGATATTTTTCTGGTTAGTCTTCTTCATTTATGATATTTTTCTGATTAGCCTTCTTCATACCTGAAATGTGTGAGTCACAGGGGACCCACCAGGGGTCTCTCTTTTAAAAGTCACAATGGAGACTGAACCAACTGCTGCCAAGATAGATATAGCCCTTGCACCTTGTTGTAAAAGTGAGATTATCCTTGCCAAAATATTCTGCAGGAAACGCCATGAAAATAGACCATATCAAATACTAAAAGTGCCTGCAGAAAATGTAACGTCAATGTTCTTAATTATGTCTAAAGTAATAGGTATCTAAAAGTTTGTATAATCTGTTACCTCGAGCATGTTTAGGTAGGCTTATAAATAAGTAAAATGCACTTTAATATAGGTTTTTGCTTAAACATGATAACTTATTTCTTTCCTACTTTTAAGTAAAAAAAGTATGAATTTTAATAGCTTTTCTCAATAAAATTATTTGTTAGAAACTTATTTACTTATAAGTAAATTTTATAGGCTTAGCCTGGTAACCACTTTCAAGAATGCTTGGACTAAGCTCATAAGCCAACCCAAACGTGCTAAGCATTTATAATGTATCAAAGTCGAGTCATCTGGTAAAATTTCTGCTTTTTCTTCATCAAGTCCTATGAATTTTTACTACTTTCTTTAATACACCTTATCATCAGCACACCCCAGAAGCTACTCTTACCAAGAAGTTACAACTATTTTCAAAATTTTGGCACCAATTACATATCAAGTGAATACCTGACCCCATTCGGAACTTGTCAGGTAACAAAATGGAAGAGATAATACACAAGAATGGACAGAGAAAGGGAAGAATAAGAATATAAGAAGCGTGACATATCCAAGAGAAATAATATGGGAGGAAGAAAAAATCTGTGATTCTGATTCACTTAATAATGGTTTGTATAAATTGAATCTTAATCCCTGAACAGAAAGAGAACTTCTAATGCATCACAACTTATCAAAATTCTAGTTAATCTTATTTAAAAAAATGTAAACTATAATACTCAGTAAGTCTTCAATTAGGTCTCTACTAGAATCCCCACCATCAAGAACATAACAGGATTGAAGTCATAGGACCAATTGGATGGTTCTGAAAGGATAAAGATCCTCTTATGCCATTGTTTTCTTTCAAGTAGAAATGCCACTATAAGAACGAAAATGTAGGGTCTACAGCCGAATCCCATCATATTGAAAGATCTTCAGTTTTCTAACAGGACAGAAAAACCTTAAAATGGGCATGAGTGAGATGTTGGGATCGGGAAGATGATTCAGCTGCAGTGTTTTTGAATAATCAGCTCGCATCAAAATTTCCCATTTTCTTTCTTATACTAATTTACTTGAAGCCATAGTTTTTTTGTGTGTATATATCACCTCACCTTAGCTCAGTTGACAAATTTTTAACTGAGAAAGAATGCTGAATAGTGTGCTTTATTGTTTTTAATCATTGTGCTAATCACTTTTAAAATCTCAATGTACTAAGTGCATATTCTGTACACAATATTGGAAAGAACCAGACATCATAATGGATGAGGACTAGTTTATTTTTCTTTCTTGAAACCGTTCAATCCTGTCCTACCAAACAAACCAAAAGTTTCTTCACTCAACATTTACCTATAATGCATACAGTTGAAAGTACAAAGTAATGCCATCAACACCTATTACATTTAAGCATGTCCATTAGATCATTTTATAAGATATGTCATAGCTAGACAGAGACAACAAAAATATTACAAGCATTCTTTTATAATGATCATGTATTCGGAATTCAAAGTAAAACGCTAACATCAATTTGTAAGGCATATTACATACTTCTCCTATATCGATATTGATAAACCGTGTTGGTCTACCATACGAATCCATTCTAGAAAAGGCACCCCTGCACCTAGCAAAATAATAAATCATTCACAAAAGCATACAAATAAAAAATATTCAATTAAAGATGGCGAAAACATGAATTGCCGAGCGAGTATACCATAAAACTTTAGAAGATCGCAAAAACTTAAAAAGAAAAGAGAAAAAAATAGGTTAAAAAAGAAGATCATATTCCACAACAATTAGGGTGTGTTTGGTACACCAGATTGGATAGATAAGGATTAATTTAGTCCAATCCAGGGATTGGTGCAAATAATTTGGCACTAAATTAATCTGGACAGTTTTCTATATACTACAATGACCGTAATATTATCCATACTAAGGACGTGGATCAAGATAGTTTTAAAATTAACTAGATTCCCATAAATAACTAAACACCCAAAATTACCCAAAATTGCTATCTTTTCAAGCACAAAATGCCTCATTCGCTGAATTTACAAATTATATATACTAAATTGCAGGTTATAAAAACATCCGCATTCAGGAATTAGACGAATAACAAATAATCTAAAGTAAGGACATTTCTCAAAAGTGGATTAATATTAAATAAATTCCCATAAAAAATAACATAAAAATTCCAAAAATTGCTAATGTTTAAAACACAGAAATGCCTCATTCACTGAATTTACAAATTACATATCTTAATTTGCAGGCCATATAAAACATCCGCATAAAAATATTAAATCATTAACAAAATCAGTAACACCCAAAATTGCTATCTTTACAAACACAAAATACCTCATTCACTAAATTTATAAATTATATATACTAAATTGCAGGTTATAAAATCATCTGCATTCAAAACAAATAATCCATAGTAAGGACATCACTGAAGAGTGGATTAATATTAACTAAATTCCCAAATAAATAAAATGCAAATGCCAAAACTTGCTATCTTTTGAAACAGAGAAATGCCTCATTCGCTGAATTTACAAATTATATATCTTAATTTGCAGGTCATATCATAAAAATAGTAAATCATTAACAAAATAAGACAAATAAGAAATATTTCAATTAAAGATAGCAAAAAGAAACCCATAAATTGCTAACCGAGTATACAACCTGTAGAAGATCACAGAAATTTAAAGGAAAGAAGCAAAATTTTAGGTTAAACAAGAGGATTATATTCCAAGACAATTAGGGTGTGTTTGGTACTCTGAATTGGACAAGATAAGGATTAATTTAGTCTATACGGCGTTTGGTGCAAATATTGTGAGACTAAATTAATGCAGATAGTTTCTTATACACTACAGATAATCCAAAGTAAGGACATGATTCAAAAGTGGACTAAAATTAAATTCACAAATAACTGAACACCCAAAATGATTCAAAAACATGGCATATTTTCAAATGCTGCAATACCTCATTTGCTGAATTTACAATTGAATAATGACATCCGCATAAAAATCACAACTAATAACATAAGAATTACCTGTAACAAAATAACAGTCCGAAGGCTTCCTTTGGGGCTGCGGAGCTACTGGGGTTTTTTATTGACTTTGAAATTTGCAATTTCTTCACAAGTAAAACTGGTAGAAAAACTATATGCTAGACCAAGCCTAAAGAGCTTGCTTATAAATAATAAGTTTTTAAACAAATAATTCCTTTATCGGTGAAAGTTTTAAATAAGTTACTTATTTTCATGTTAAAGTATGAATTACTTAAAAATAACTTCTTACATAGATATAAGTAAAAAGTAAATTATCCTATACATGTTTGGAGATGAAAAATAAACAAAAGTAACTTCACCTTTTTCTAAGCTTTGCCAAATATGGTCAAATGTGTAGAAGAGGAGGTCAGTTGAGGATGAGTTGACTAGTTTATTTTCCTCATTCTCCAATCGGATAGAACAATGAGACTGGGCTTTAATCAAATTTGTTTCTTTTTTAAATCTAATGAAGTATATTGAAATTTTGTTCTATGATTTCTAAGGGCTTGTTTGATGTAGATTTTGTGAAAAATGATATATTTGAAGAATGTGTGGTGGAAAAATAGGAAAAGTGCCACGCGTTTTCTACAACGTGATCTATAGCGTAAGCGTAGGGCATCAAGTTTTGTAATATAGTAATGGAGTTAAGAGAGTTGAACTCACAAGAATTGTAATTTAATTTTTACTAAGTACTATAATTGTATAGTTTCTAACCCTGAGGAGTAACTCAATGGTCAGGCTTTGAGTTTGCTCCCAATGATCACCAGTTCGAGTCCTCTCAGGGTCACTGAGGTGAGTATCCGGAGGTAAACTTCAGGGCCCGTGGAATTAGTCGAGGTACGCGTAAACTGGTCCGAACACCCATGGTTATCAAAAAAATAATAATAGTTGTATACCTTCTATTTTATCTAGATAAATGAAATTTGTGATCAATAGTCTTATCTAATCTAAGAATAATCGTCGTGTCTAATTCAAGGAGTGCAATTTATATGAATAAATCACTATAAGAAAGGCCTGTGGAACTATCAATTATATTTCAATTATGTCTAACTATTCTAGTCAATTTTTCCATGTTTAAAAGCAAGAATCTTAATGTATTTCTCTCTACTCTCTCGAGTACCAGCTAGAAATTCATCCTAGATTTCAATCTCAATATTTCTTTTCCAAATTAAAACTAAGAATTTATCAAGTTCATGATTCTCTTATGGAATAAGCTTCATAGATTCTATGCATTCTCTTGAAACCCATAAAATCTGCGTTGTGTCAATACTATGATCGTGTCTAAAATCCCCTCCCTCGAATGTCGGAATTGACTAGCACCTATTCATTCAATTAGTGATCAATTAATTGAAAGTATTAATTTTACGACACAATTAAACATATGTGAGAAATCAAATAAAAATAACTATAATAGAATCAAGCCATAATCTTAAGTTTTGGCTACAATCAAACCCTAGAATATGAATTTAATTCATGATATAATTCAGGAAAATACTAAAATTCATATAAGAAAACATAGGGAAGATAATAGAAAAACTCAGTTGTAGATCTTAAATTTCTTCTCTTGATCTTCTTTATCTTGTTCTTAAATCACCTGATGTTTTGTCCCTTTGAATTCTATTTTTGGTCAGTTCAATTCTTCTTGAAAAATGGGTTTTTGATCTTGTATTTATAGTATTTTTGGAATTTTGGACAAATAAGGGTTGAGTTTGGCCAAAAAATAGTCCAAAAATATAAAAAAACATTTTTTCCGCATAGACAGCCCTTGGCACCCAAAACAGGCACTGCAACACCGCGTTCACTGCTGATTTTCAGCATTGTGGGCGCTGCAACACCCAAGATGGGCACCGCAGCTCCCACTTCGGGTGGAAAAGGCTGTTTACATCTCCTTCAGTATTTTTATCATAACTTTTTCTCTCAATGTCTGATTAAGGCAATTTAAGATGCATTGAAAAGCTAACTCAAAGAGCTACAACTTTGCTTCAAATATCATTCTCCAATTCAAACGTTTGCTATGTCAAAAGAAAAATTCAGAGTATAACTTTTTCAGATGGAAATTGATGTGTCGTCATACTTTGGCTATATTTGATGCCTTTGACATCTTTCTTCATCCAATTGACCCGTAACACACTCAAATCTTCATCTTGAGGTTTGACACAATGTTTGAGTATTTGCACTTTAGTCCTCAAACTTTGGGTCTCCTACAATATAGCCCTTTTCTCCAATTTTGCCTATTTCCTTCAATTTCATCAACCTATATCACAACATTAAAACACACATTAAAACGCTCTAAAAATTGTAGGAATTAGTTAAATCTTAAGCTTAGATTATGTCTAAATTATGAGTGAAATACACTCATAGTTATAGATTCACATGCAAAATTATTTAATTGGGAAAATATGTAACTGAAAATGAGTTTTTAAGAATCTATACCAAATAGGAGCCAAATAATATGACATGTACTTCCATTATCACATAAGACATTTATTTAGAAAATTATGTTGTAATATTGGAATGCATATTTTGCATAATAAAAATGTTTTGCTTTTAAAATTAAAGGGAACATTAAAATACAATATCAACCAAACATATACAATTATCCGTTCCACAGTATATCTAAAAACCACCTTAATCATATCAACCTAATACAGCGTGGTGTACCAAATGCAACTTGACGATTCAAATGACAAGTTTGCGAACAATAAAATGAATTCAATTTCAAAAGGAAAATTGAATATATGCAACATATAATGCTGATATGATCGTAAATGAATTCAATTATCTGTTCCACAGTATATCTGAAAACCACCTTAATCATATCAACCTAATACAGCGTGGTGTACCAAATGCAACTTGACGATTCAAATGACAAGTTTCCGGACAATAAAATGAATTCAATTTCAAAAGGAAAACTGAATATATGCAACATATAATGCTGATATGATCGTAAATCATCGGGCAATTTCATAATATGCTATAATTAAATGAGTGAACCAAATGTCTCTGAATGCAAACTTATTGGCAGGCCTACTACCAGATCTGTAGAACATTAATTAGAAATATAGTTGATGAAGACAATCAGCAAAAATAAGTGTTTTTGCACAATTCTGAAAGACTGCAAATTACAATAGTCATCTCAGCAAAAGAAAAGCCCCCAAAAAGCCATATCACGATCTTCATGGGTGCAATATTATTTGTTGAGGAAGAAGATGAAGCGAAACAACTACCCCGAACGCTCAGCTGGATAAACCATATTTGACAAGAAACCCTTACCCTAGATTTAAATAAAAGAATATGCTTGCTTGGCCTTAATTTAAAAATCAGTATCTAAATAAGAAATTTTGTAACATGCATTTTACTAATTAGGAAAAGCATTCACACATAAATGTAGAGTAGGAAATGGTGGTATCTAGATGTATACGAACTAATAATTCAAGCATGTCTTCTAATAATCAAAATGCACATTTTCTATCATGCATATATAATAATAAAAAATAATAATAATAAATAAATAAAAATTCAAGTGTTTTATACATTTAGAGGTTAAGACATTTATTCATGATCTAATAGACTAATATACATTCCTTTATAGACCCGGCACAAGATAATTGGTTCACTAGTAAAGCAAGTGTGGCTTCATAATTTGAACACATTAGCTAAAGATGATGCTCGTTATCTGAAAAGCAGAAGAGAGAAAGAAGATCAAGTAGTGATTTTTCTATCTATAGGAAACTACCAAGAAAATCTTCAAGTTCGCATTTACAGATTTTGCCAATTATTTACGAAATAAGTAGCATGATGCATGTCTCCTAGGCTAGGTATCAAGACAAACATGAAAGCATAATGCGTGTCTCGAAGGTGCCAATACAAAAATGCATAACATAATGCCTTTCTTTTGGGTGTCAAAGTGTTGAGTATATTGAGCCACGAATGCTGATTTTCCCTGGCAATGGTGTGCTTCTTTACAGTGGCAACAAAGAATTAGCCATGTGGCTATTTTTGCATACTGAGGTAACGACCAGTAAGAGACTTGTATTGAAATCACAAAATTTTGTTTTAAAAACAAATTTCCTTTGAACCAACATAATAGAACAAATGATTGTATTATTAATCAACTAAAAAGGTGTGTGGTTAAACTAGGAAGTCTGGAAAATCGAAGAGTAAAACAAGAAGACTGAACAGAAACCTTAAAATATGATACATATTTCGCTGAGCTTTTACTCAAACCAACTAAGAATAGTAGCAGGTCAAAGTCTATGAAAAGCAATCTCAGTATGGAAAGTTGGAACAAAATACCTAGGTTCAAGCAAAGTTACTGAGAGAAGCTAATCGTTGCTTTTGAACAGTCTTTGGTGGGATTCCGCTCTACTTCTGATTTGGTGATAGTGTTGCCATGAAACTGAGCTTTGGCCTTCCTTTTTTTTCTGCAAAAGGCAGGGTGAGCATATACACAGTGTGTCCATATTCTAAGGCATTCAAGCAGTGCAACATCAACCATAACACCACCTTCGGATCTTCTATGAGCAGATGGTGCGCCAAGTTGACTCCACGAGATTGAACCCCCTCACATAAAAACACAAGCTTTGAAAGAGGAGACCCTTTTGTTTATTTAAATTTAGTCTTTCGCACACCCCCTCATTGTGTTCACCGAATCTATTTGCCCACTAAAGACTTAACACGTGCTCAATCTTTTCGTAGTAAGTCTTGAACTTGGGTATTTTACCTGCTCTCATGTCATATTAAACTGCTTCATCTAAAAGTTTAGGCTATTAAACTCGTACAATTTTATTTATTTTAATGTAGTCTTCAAAAAAACTTGACTGATGAAGACTAAGACATTGCAAATGAAACTGAGCCATAATGTCTGTATTTCCATGGTCTTCCCCTTCTTCTTGCATAGGCTCACCTTGTGGCAGATCAGATGGTGTACCAGTAGGCTAACTCCATGAGATGCCACTGTTGACAAAAGATACAAAGTCAGTGTTAATCCAATTGAATCAACCCCATTGTTCAGTTGCAATGGAATATTAGCATTAGATAATGTATGAATGCATGTCAAAAAAGTCGAAAATCTTAAAAAGCCTCTCTGCATGTAAAAGAGGGCGCACCCCTGTAATGCTAGAGCTTCCCTTTAATCCACTGCATTTACTGCAGATCACTTGCA